GGGGGGGGGGGGGGGGGGGGGCGACACGGCGATGGACAAGGAGGTGAGGGTGTGTGTACTCTTGTGAAGGCATGCCGTAGCCGGCCTCATCACGAGGAAGGCACCTCAATTGTCCCAGGTGTTCCTTATGCCACCATGCCTCGAGGTGCGCTGCCTGTCTGTCGAGCACACGTGTACCCTGCAAAGCCTAATCGTTACTACCCCCCCTGCCCTTGCCATCCGACTGGTTGCGTGCGACCGCTGCCGCTTGGCGACCGCAATGGCTCCTCCTGTGTAACGGCGAAACAAAAAAAACAGGCGCTCCACCGCTTGGCCTCCGCCAAGGAGTTGCAGTCGGGGCTGTCCCGGAAACAGGCGGCGGAGGAACACAAGGATAAGATCTCGAGGGCGTCATCTTTCTGGGACCGCTCGTTGGATATGGGCAAGGTCAAGAAGGTGGGTGCTGGTGTTAGTTGGCGTGAATCGAGCCAGGAGCGCTGATGTGTTGTTGCGTTGCCATGCGTCAAGAGGTGCCGAATTGAATGTTCAAACTATTGCGTCGGCCACCGACAGCAGCGGCCGTTGTACTCGTGAAAACCCCAAAATACGCCTTCCCCCGTAAATGCCCTCGGTGTGCTGTACATGCCGGTACGGGTTTCTTCGCACGTTTGTTTCTCTCGTTTTTTTTTTTACGGGTTAGTGACCACGTTTTTTTTTTTTTTCAATGCGAAAACGCGGTGCGAGAAGGCGTATCATACGTGAAAAGGTTGGGTTTCTCGCCAATTTTTTTTGTTAATGTGAATACGCGGTGCGAAATGGCAAAGATGAAGGTATAGGGTTTCCAGCCATGTTCTTTTTTTTCAGCCATAAGCCATAAGCCATAAGCCATAAACATGTACTTCTATGAGAAATGCGAAAACGCGGTGCGAAACGGCGGCACTCAGGTGAAGGAGAAGAAGGACCCCCAAGAAATGTCCGCCAGCAGCAGCGGCGACGCCTTCCAGGCAAAGCAGGAGCAGATGCACGGCCAGTCCAAGAGGAGGGGGCACCGTGAGGAGAAAGACACCCCTAGAGGGAACCACGCCAACGGCGAGAGAGGGGGGAGGGGTAGACGGGGCAGGGGCGGCGGGCGGGGTATGCGTGGGGGCGGTGGGAACCGGGGTGGGGGCAAGCGATGGTGAAAGCAATGGGCGGGGGGGGGGCTCCGGGGAGCCGTGAGGAGCTAGTCCACCACCTGGGTGTGGGCAGAAAGAAGGGCTGTTTGCCGCGCCCCGTGAATGCACACAGGAGGTCTCGGGGCTTGTTCAGCCCTGCGTGTTGTCTCTGTGCACGTATGTGTGAGTGTTCTCGTTGTTGCTGGCATCGAGACTGCTTGCGTCTCTCACGGCTTGAAAAGTTAAGCACCGTGAGTTGATTGGTTGCATTGACAGTATGCCTCTGGTGCTGCGAGGCGGTGTGCACGTTTTCCCAATGGTGTCGGACGCCGGGGTGTTTGTAGCGGCGCCAGGCATGTTGCCTGTAGAACGACGCATGAGTGGGAGCAGCGCTGACATACGGGCGTGTCGTTGCCCCGTTTTTTTTTGTTTTTTTTCGTCTCGTTCCCTTTGTTGTGTCCTCCAGGAATCTCTCGTTTTCATGAGTGGTTGCCTGTGAAACCGATGTGTATTCTTGCTGCTTTCTATCGGCCGTGCTAGGTGGGCTGACCAATGAAAAGACGCCGAAGTCTTGCAGTTAGGGCCAACCGTGGCGTTTTCTAGTCCGCAGACCCCCCGCCCCCCGCCCCCGCCCCCGCCCCCGATCACTCGCGTGTGTGTTTTCTCCGGATAGCACCGACCGCGCTAGCCAACGAAACGGCGTCAGTCGTGTGTGCGTGCGCGTCGACGGTTCTCATCCGGTAATGCGCGCGTCTGTGTTCTCGATGATTATTTGTTCGGCAAAAGAGGCATGCATAAACTCTTTGCCCGCTGGTGTGGTGGTACATGGCAAACAAGTCTCGGTCGCGTGCTACAATGGCAGAGAAGAAGTGATGTTGTACCTCTGCTCACGAATGGCGAAAAATTGGCCGAAACGGAGCTAGAGATTCGAGGGGATGAAATCGTAGCGTGTAGCATTAAGGTCGGGAAAAATGATCAAATTGGGAGTGCTAAAGCAGGTGATGTCATAGACGACGTGGCTATTGTGGTATGTACAAGGAGGGGGGTGCGAGGCGAGACGGTGCACGGTGCATCCACTGGAATGACCTGTTCGCGCACGACTGTACCCGTTCGTTGTAGCTTGATATCATCATCAAAGATGTTTTGTGTGCGAACCTGAATTTTATGTAAGTTCACTTTGTGGGTGTGCAATCGATCGTGCGTTTCGTACTCGTCAATGTTCGCACGAATAGGTTCACCAAGGTGAACACAGCTCTTCTTGTGTTGAGTGTTGGCCTTTTTTTTTGTTGTGAAGAGCTGTGGACGGTCGTCCTTACACAATGGGACGGTTGGGTGTGCGTGCTTTTGAGAGTTGACGAGAAGAATTAACGATAAAGGACGCTTTTCATACCCGCCCCCTTGATCCCCAGCACGTCCTGCGGACCCACAACAAGCACAAAGGGGGTCTTCGTGTTTGTTTCCAATCGCGGTGTTTTTATGTCCTGGATCATTTTATTGGCTGGGATCATGATCATGTGTTGTCAGCGTCTGCCTCTGTGTTTGTGTTTTTATCGTGGGAGTATTTGATTATTTGTTTTCGTTTGTTTTCGTCGTGGCATGTTACACCAGTAGACACCGGGGTCCATAAGTTTTTTTTGTGGTGCGTGTGAACTGGGCGGGAGGGAAAAGAGCCAGCAGTACCGACATTTAGTAGGAGGCGTGGGTTGTGTCGTCTGTTTCGGAAACCAGCGGCACCCAAAAGAAAGGTGTGCGGGAGTTGGCGAGAATGGATTCGGAAGAATAATGCGACGGTGGACTCGCAGGAAAGCGGCAATCAATGATGATGTGAACATTTGTATAGTCTAGGGCTGGTAACTTTTCTCGTTTGTCGTGCCATTTGTTCTGGACGTCGGTTGTTTACACCGTTCGGTACAATTCTGGAGCACCAGGTACACAGACAGGAGGAAGGCCAAACAAGAGTTGTATTCTCTGCCTTCCTGCTGCGGTGCTCGCCTTTTTCGCGAGAAGGATTTGGCCGTTTCTTCCATCGTCGACTGTGTGTGCCTGTATTATTTGCATCGACCTCGCTAACTGGCTGACCATTGAAAAGACGTCAGTCTCAGTGCGTGTGTTTGGCAGATCCATACACACACGTCGTTCGCGGTAGGTAGCCATGCCCTCCGCCGATGGTTTCGTACATGTGAAACAACCACAGTACATACATCCCGTTCCAAACATCTGTTGAAAGCAGTTCGCCAACCAACCCTTAAAAGATGGAAGCCGCGAAAACTTCACGACGGATTGAGTACCACCGTGATAGCGGGACAATCGCCAATAGTATACAGGTGATGCAGAAGATGGAGAGATATCATCAGCACGCCGACAGACACAAGTATGGAACATTAGGGCGCCCCTTTTCTTCACATCCTGGGCTCACTCCCATTTCAACACGTACTCGGAGCCGTGGGCCTACGCGCCCCAGATCCACTTCCTGTCACGACGCCGAGTAAACCAACATAACAATACCATGGTACGTAAAAAATGCGACAGTCTTTCAGTCAGTGGGGTTGGGTACCACGGCGGCAGGCGCCCAAAACATCTCCCGCCTGGCTGGTCGTGTCGCCATCAAGCCTCTGACGCTTTGGACTTGTGTAGCGCTCTGTCCCAGCGACCGACTCCTCTTCCGCTTCTTCGTCTTCCCTGCTTCGCTTCACGTTGACGACATCGGGAGCGCCGTCTTCGCGCGGATGTGGTTCGTCGATAGACGGAAGCCCAGGGGACGATGACGGCGAAACTACCGTCGCTGTTGCTGCGTCTCCGCCGACCCCCTCCGCCGGGCAACCGTTACGGCCGCTCTCCTCGATGCCTCTGGCGGGTGCGAACCCTTCCAATTGTAGCGGATCGCCACCGTCTCCGCGTCCTTCGCCCTCCTCCTCCTCCTCCGCCACCGCCGCTAAGCCGTGCTCTCCGTCGATACCACCTCCGGCAGGTGCGGAGGGGCACCGTAGATGAAACGGTGGTGGCGGTCGGTGAACTGCCGGGGTAGTACCAGACGGTGCTGGTGGCGCGGAGGGTACTGCTACAACCGGTGTCGAAGCGACCGGTGTCTCGGTCGCGCCCTGGCTCTGGCTAACACCGCCCCCAACGCAGGTTCCGTCGGAAAGCCGGCGCCTTGAAGTACCCCTGGCGGCCTCGTACGGGTCCTTGCCGTCCTCTCCGCCGACCACTGCTCCGGCTGCTGGCGGCTCCACCAGCGCCGCCCCCGCCGCTGCCGCCAACGCTCTCTCAATCTCTCTTGCCTGCTCCTGACTTCTCTTGCGTTTCCTGCTCTTGTTGCTCTCGGGGGCGGTGGGGGCGGCGGGGTGGGTGGGCGGACCCTTGCCGACCGAGGATGCCCCGTCAGCGCCGGCGGCGGCGGTTCCCCCCACGGCAGGGCTGGAAGAGGAGGACGCCAATGAGGGTGAGGGCGTGGGGAGAATAGGGCGCTGGACCGCGGGGGGCGCCGGCGGGGGGCGGCGCGTGTAGAAGAGGACGTAGGCCTTGTCCCTCAGCACGGTGTCCAGCGTGACCTGTATGCACGCAAGTGAGCGCGTGCGTGTTCGTTGTGAGGTCGGGTTGAACTGGCCTTGGTCCCAAGCGAGGACGTCGCTTTCGCCATCAATCGTGATTGTCGGACGGGTTCAACGGCGGGAAGAGCGCCGCAGCTACATGGTGTACAGGGCACACGACAAGCAGTGAACCGAGCACAACCAATCACCGACGAGTTAAACCCTCTATGGAGGCGTTTGTCGTGGGTCGCTGACGCCACTACTACGCTGTACCGCACCACCAGTGAAGAAGAAACGGGAAAAAATCATAAACGCAGCAGCATTATTCTACCGCTGGCGGCGTGGTTCGCCGAGGACTGCTGTGAGCACGTTGCAACCGCACCTTCGTCACCACGCTGTCGTTCATCCGTGCCCAAGACCCGGCCGATGACCTCACGTAGGCGTAGTAGTGCCCGGAAGACATGGTCTTGCCCGAGTGAACCACAACCCTGGGAAGAAGGGCCATGGCACCAGGAGACATGTGGGGGGTGCAATCAGTTGGAGTGAGGGGTGGAAACGAAGAGTGCTACGAACATCGGAGCGCGGGGTCTTCAACGGAGCACAACTTCATGCGAACCGCGCGGGCATTGCAAGCGCACGACATGCAAAAGCATGGAAGCCACCCTGAAACTTGTCGAGGTGTACTCCTGTAGTACCCCGTACAATCATAGAGTGTACTCTGCGCCACCAGTCACCGTTGTCTTTCACCGGACAAGTTTTTCGGCCAAGCCGTTGAGAAGAAACGGTCGCTATTTCATCCTTCGTTCGTTTCCGGCCGTGAAACCTTATCCCCTCTTGCACGAGAAGCCAACCCGTTGATATTCCTTCCAAACTCTTACCCCGTCAGGTCGTAGTTCGCCCAACGCTCCGGTCCCGACACCTCAAGGTTGAGCTTGTCGCCGAAGGAAATGTGGTCCTTGACCTTTCTCGGCCCGTTCGTGAAGCCGAACCTTTTCAGCTGAAACACCAACGCGTTCGGTGGCTGGCATGCCAATAATGACAGGAAAAGAAAAGAGGAGGGAAGTTTACGACGCTGAGAGCTGTCTCAAGTCAGGACACATGAACCGACGGTGGTTTGAGAATCAGTCCTACACTCCCCCGTTTCCTCCCTCCCGCCTGCAGGACAATCTTTCTAGTAGGGCGTGTACCTAAAGTTCCCGCCGGAATCTACGAAAAGTGTCACAATATGTACCACATGTATCGTAGTTTTTTTTTTTTTTTCGTTTTTTGGGTGTTTAAAGGAAAAGTGAGGACACACATGCTGCTCTCAATCTTTGTACGACTGGCCTTCTAATTGTTCAACACTCTGCGTCTCTCGTTAGCCCGTACCTTGAATACCGACAAATTCTTCTCCGCTTCGACCAGCTTGTTGCAACCCCCGCACTTCCACTCGTTGCCAGCGCCGAGGGTTTCCGGGGCGGTAAAACGCCTGAGGGCCGCTTGGAGAGACCTCTCGTTCATCGCCACGCCGCTTGAGTCGACCTTCTCGACGTTCATGGCCAGGTCCATGAAGGGGTCGAAGGTGTCGCTGCAGAAACCGCACTCCGAGCACTTCAGCTGCCACGCGCGGGTGAAAAGACAGAAGGACGGGGCTGAGAAGCGCTACTACTTCACAGAGACATGCGATGTGTGGGTCGATGGAGCAACATCAAGAACAATGACGCGCAACACGTCCTCTTTTTGTACCCGCGGGGGGAGAAGAGAAGGAGACGGCAGCGTTCAAACAGCGGGAGAACCTGGAAGACGCCTATCCTATATTCTGCCTTCGAAAAACCTTACATGTGTGGACATACAATGCAGCGTAAAATACCTCTCAGTCCTCATTGGAGAACATGGATACCATGTCACTGCACCTGACTTCGGAGGTATCCTCCGAAGACACGGTGAATCGGAGTCGTCTCCGCCAGCCTGTTAGGTGCAAACGGGTCTACCCCTCGGCGTTCGAGGTAGGACCCCGCCATCTTGTCCACCAGGTGTCTCAAAAATTCGTGGGCGTCCTCCTGGTCATTGGGTGTTGGGTCCCCGGACGTGCATTGGTAAGGAAGGAAATAAAAACAACGCAAGGAGTTGGGTCGTGTCATATACTTGCTTCAAGAATAATTGAGTGTTTTCGGCGAGCGTTCTCCTGAGAAAAAAAAAATGATCACAACAAAGTGTCCTAGCCGCACCAGTCGGTGCTAGGTAGGTTGATCACCTGTCTGCCCCGCCGGAATTTCTCCCCGATCTTTCTCAGGTTGTCGGAAAAAGTGCGCGGCCTGATCGCTTGTTGCTCAGCTGACCCTGACTTGGTCTGGTGGATCTGAAAGAGGGGGAGGTCGCAGGGGACACCGAGAAAAGCGCTCACGTACGAAACCCGCGCGGATTTTTTATGCTGTAGGAGCAACTGTGATGTCTTCTGAATACGTTTGTTTATGCGTGGAGGGGGCACGGGACAACAACCAGTTGTCCCACTATTTATACAGGGAGTAGCTGGAAGGCACTTCGAGTTTGGCGGGTCGCGGGTTGTTCGATCGTCACGGAATTTACACACGAAAGAAAACGTTGACGCTGCTGATGGCATGGGCTGGCGAGGGGTAGCTCGGCAAGCACCAAAAGGTATGCCGTCACCTAGAAACGATTGTTCCATCACCAGCGCGGACGTCCAAACGTCAGCAAAGCAGCCTCTACCGACCACAACTTACTACTACGACTCAGCCAGGTGATCATATGCAATTCTCGGTCCACGGGGCGATAATCATCACCCAAACATCGCGGCAAGCTGAACACACACCCTCACCTGTCCCACAAGCTTCTGCATGGCTCCTAGGATGTCGTCCTCACAGAAGTCGGTGGACCCGTTGAAAGAAAACGGGGACTCGGAGCACGTTGCGTGAGACCCCTGATTTATTGTCAAATTTCGCCGAAAGAAAGACAGGAGTTGGAAAAACATTGGTTGCTGAAAACAGGGCCGTTTAGCTTACCACGGAAGGAAAAAACGCGACAAACGATCACCGCAGACAGGCAGTAGGTGGAGACTGGAACTTGCCCGAAATTATTTGGTTACAGGTGGAGAAGGGAGCGAATGGCACCATTTCGTTTTTCACACATCTATCTGCAGATGATTCACCTGCGAGTAGCTGCCGTTCAACAGGTGCTGGGCGAGCGGGGGAACGTAGCTCAGGCACTGTAGAATCGAGTTCAGGTAGCACGTGTTGCCCATGTTCTCCAAGCCCACTCCGATTTGGCAAGGCCATCGCCATGTGAGGTTCGGTCTAACCTGGCTTTCAGGGTAAAGTTCCTGTTGGCAAGGGGATGCAGGAACAACAAGGGGGGGTGGCGGGTAACAAGAAGGGTGTCACGAACGTGCTCCGTGGGCTAACACACGCAAGTACGAACGGGTGTTCTTCTGTTCTTCGATTCAACATCCATGAGCGCGCAGCATTATCAGTCTAAACTTAACCGAAAGCTGACGCAAACGATTTACACATTTCGTTTCCTTCGATGTACAACTATAAGTTCATCGTACCCGTTCTTTGGAAAGGTCACAAGCACACCTGTTCCTTTGTGGGGAGCCTGATATCCTTTTCAGCATGTCGCGCCAGTTCCTCGATGTCTCTCGTTTGCTGGTCGGCGTCTCTACCGTTCTGTCGTGAGGCGCCACGAGCACCACTGTCGAATTGCGGCCGCTCATCGCCCCTCCAGGTCGCACTTCTTGTCGAGAGCTCGTTCCTGCCGATGGAGTCGATCCCTCGTCCTGGGAAGTCTGGCGAGAAGGACGGCTCGGGGCAACCACTCGCCACTATACTGAATACGTTGCTGAGGCTGTTGTTGTGTGACTGCTGTCCGACGTAGTACGTGCTACTCGGCCCAACAAGCTCAAGTCCGGCCATTTCTCCCCTGCCCCTTTCGTTTGCTGCTGCTGGTGCTGCTGTTACAGCTGGTTCTACACCGTTCGCTTTCGTTCGTCGTCCCTCGGGCCACCACAGCTGGCCGTGCCCGTACTGCTGCTGCTGCTCGCGGGGGTGCGTTCGGCCCGTCCCTGCATGGACAGACTCACACCCTTTCCCTCCTGCCATTCCGTCTGTCACTGCTTTTTGTCCTTGTCCTTCTTGTCCGGCGAATCTTGTGTCTGCTGCCCCCGCACTTCCTCCTGCCAACGGGCACCATCGTGCCGGCTGTTGGCTCCGCTGCTGCTGATGCTGCCCTTGCGAGTAAAAAGTAGCGCTCGCCCCGACGTGCAGCGCTACCTGCTTGTTCGACATCTTCGGTGGGCTTTGTTCCCACCGCGAGGAGGAGGAGGATGGCCGTTGCCCGAAGGTGCCGCCACCCCCGCTGTGCCAGATAACCCGTCCGCGCTTGCCTTGCCGGCTAAGACCGAGGTTGCGGCGGCCACCACCCGTGTTTACCCACGAAGTACCATCTCCCATGCGCTTGCTCATGGCTGCCTTCGTCCGCTGTTAGCCTTTGCGTAGAGACTTCAGGTATTTGGGACGAATGCCGGCGGTCGATGTCTGTCTGCTGCGCTTTTCTCGCAGTGTTCGCTGAACGATCTCTCTCCTTCGTCGGGCGGCGATAGATTTTGTGCGAAACGTGAAACGGCTCAAATAAGAGTTTGAACCCAGAGAACCAAAATACAACGAGTGGACAACCCGGGGACATTGGTATTTGACCCCGCCCCCCACCCGCTCTCTCTCTCCTACTACTGCCTGTTGCCCCCAGCCCCCAGCATGCCAAACACTCACAATGGCGATCGAAGATGAGCTTTCCGGGCTCAACCGCGAGCTGTCTATGTTTCCTGAGCGAGCATTCGAGTTCAGCAAAGCGGGAGAAGTTGTCATTGAGCAGGTAGGTTTGGGTCCGTGGTTTCCTTACTCGATATGGTGCTACAGCAAGCAGATGCCGTAGTACTGCTGCTGTTGTCCAGTATCCATATACGAGTCACTTGATCAGGCAGTCTACAGCGCAGCAGCTACCAGGCTCCTACATGTACCATGTATGGTACGAGTTGTCTGCAGATCTGCACCTTCCAATAAATAGAGGCTTGGCCTGGCGCCGCTTTTTTTCTGAATCTGCGCTGCTGCGGGAGCAGTAGTATGTAGTTCGCCTGACGTAACCAAACTCCAGGCACCACGCAAGGTGCCGTTGTTGTTTGGACTCCGTTGCTGGGCAACGAAGGCCAGACCTACATCTGGCGGTTGCTCTGCGTGTCGGAAGTCGGAAGTGAGTCGTGGAGCACGCTACATAGACTACTTCATACATTCCAAATCAAGCGTGTGTTTGATAGTCGTATCATCTGCCTCTGTTGTTGCTGTTGGGTTGTTGCTGGGCGAGACAAGACAAACCAGACGGAGAAAGAGGAAGACCAGCCCTGTCTGGATACGAATGCACACACAGCAAGCAGTTGTAGACTGAAATCAAATAATTAGACTACAGCAGTAGACAGCGCTGATTGGACTTGTCAGAGCTGACTCCCATGATTTTGTTTCGGCTCCTACAAATGGTACAATGGTACGGTCTGAATGACCAGACCTCCCAAGCTATCTGTACAAACTACCCGGGTTAGGCCTTGTCGACCTTCAATACTCCCCCCCTTCCCCCCCCCACGCCTCCTGCCGATTCACCCTTACACCCGACCTCCGAATAGGATGTGGCCGACGTGGGGTCAATTGTCTGGGACGCAGAGATCTTATTGGCCCACTACCTTGATCAGGCATACGGCTCCCGGCTAAGCGGAATGCGGGTGTTGGAACTCGGCGCTGGAACTGGCCTCGCCGGCCTCGTGAGTGCGTGCAGGAGGTTTGATTTGTCTCTGGGTATCGTCCTTATTAACAGGGCGCGAGATGGTGGTAGACTGTATGTAACCTTGTTCAAAACGAATAGTGGAACCTTCCAAGTTGATGCATCAGGTTAGGGTTACGTTATATATCAGCTTCATTCATGCTTCTTTGCAAGACCTTGGTTTGAAGACCCGGATTTAATTTGGAAGTCGTGAACTTTTGTAGCTGTACCCGTCCCAAACCTTTAACACATTCTGGCAGCACCCCGTCACTTGAACATCCAGGTGGCATCAAGGCTCGGTGCATCCGTCGTTCTCACAGATCAGTCGAAGCTCCTACCGACGCTGATAGCAAATGCTCGCGCTAACGCTCAAGACCTCGAGTATAGCCGTCAGCCACCTACCACTCCGGGCAGTCGGGACGGCACGTCAACGCTGCCTTGCGACGAACCTGCGGATGTTCTTTCAACGCCCCCTGAATCGGACAACACTTGCTCTGTTACAACAACGCCTAGCATTGCAAAAGACGGGGGGAAGGCGGAGGATGTACCTGTATGCAGGAAATCTGCGAGGCGACGAAAGGGCGGCGACGACGAGGGGTTGAATCAAGTCGACGCGCCCAAAGACAGCACCGTCAACGTCGCAGCGTCCAAGCCAGATGATCGAGAGTTATCCACCACGATGTGCTGTTTAGATGGCGGGGGTATCAAAGGCTGCTGGCGAGTAGTGGAGCTGCTGTTTTCTGAGAGCGAGGAAAAATTGCTGCGATGGCGCCGCATGGCGGATGGAGGAGGAACAACGGGAGGGCCTTTGCGTGCTGTACCCGAAGGGGATCCTGAAGGCGACAGCCACGACGGTCTGTTTGATCTAGTCGTGGCGGCCGATGTGGTGTATCTCAACGACTTATGGGATGCCATGGCGTTCACCATCAAGGTGCGGGTACCACACGTTGCCGATTGCCGTAAGAGGCGGAGAGATGGCACCCCCCCAGACCGATTTTCCAAACTCGATTGCTCCACAACCAAGCTTGTGCCAATCACCTAATAGGGTGGTTTCGGAAACACCTCGTTGAGGGCTTTCCGTAGAATTTATCGGGCTCTTTTCGGCACTTCGTTGGTTGTGCAGCAATCGATCTTTGAAAGTCGGTCTAGGGGGGTTGCCATCTCTTCGCCTCTTCGGTACGCACCTCACTTTCGTATGGACGACACAGGCGGCGACGCTCTCGTCCGTTACTTCAGGGCCCGACTAACCCCCACCCTCACCCGGCGTGTACAGGCGTTGACGAAGCCAAGCGGCGAGGCTTTGATGACCTTTGAGCAGCGACGGGGGAATGTGGATGGGTTTTTCGGCCCCCCGAGGTTCGGCGGTGAGGAAACCGGGTGCTGTTGGGGCCATGGAGAGGAGGTCGACTTTGCGGAGGGGGTCGACGCCGGGGAGGTGTTAAGGGACGCAGCTAAGGCTGCTCGAGTTCGGATGTACCGCATGCGTCGAAGCGGTAGCGGTGGTCCTTGACTGCCGTACTGTGCATGAAATCCGCACTAAAATCAGACCAGGCGTTCTCTTACCGGTGGATTCGAAGGCGTGTGTGTTTCCAAGTCCAGCTATTTCTGGGGGAGGTCTGTAGGGCGTACATGTCCACGAGAGCAGAAGTGTCGTACGAGACGTGGAAATGTGATGTTGGCGGCAAGCCATATTCCTTGTTTTCCCAGCCTCGATGGCCCCTAGGAGCAATTGCAGAAAACTGGTATTGTTTCGATGGGAACTTTGCTCGTGGGATTGTGAATTGTGTGCAGAATTGGCAAAACCTGGCGACGAAGCCGTAAAGGACAAAAACACGAAGGATCAATCAAACATCGATGCACGCAAACGACGCACGATGCATCAAACATCTCAATAAACTGAACAGTCAACCAACGATTTGAACCGTCAAGAACGGGGTAAACGCTCGTTCGACTGAGAACCCCTCGGGGCGCTATAACAGCAAGCAAGCAAGAGACCAAGCGAACTCCCCGGTGGTGTGGTGTTGGGTTTTTCTTTTGCGTAAACGCGCAGGGACGTTCTTTGAACTTTTTCCAGGGGAAGTTCAGAGGAACCAACGCCCCATGGGGAGAGCAGGCAACACAAGCTGGGTCTGCTGCCAAAGCGATCAGATTTGCTCAGCATATCGTAGCGGGTGTGGGCGTTGTTTTTCGAGTACTCGAGGAGAAACTGCCCGCGGGGGGAGCAGGGAACAAGTTTAGGTTTTGGAACCTGAATCTGCTGCGAAAGCGATCAGGTATGTCCACCACGCTGTAGTGTGACATCAGACAACGTCGTATTCATCGCCGAGTAGACTCAAGAATCCGCCCATGCTGGGCCTGAAGGCAAAACAACACACGACTCGACCAAGAAAAAACAACCGCCAAGCAACGAAAATCTAGACGAGAAACAACGAAATACAGCACCTATAAAAAAGAGTGGGCAGAGCAGAGAGGCATCGCAACAAAGAACAAGAAGCACGACGAACACTATACTACGAAAACATCGCAAGATTCCAAATGGTACTGATGGTCGTCCCGTGGGGCGTTTACCCTGCTCCTAACGGTAGTCGATCGGACGACCAATCAGCGATCGCGTTCAAGCACATGCATCTTGAAACTCCCGCAGGAGAGCTGGTAGCCGTCCCGCGCTCCCTTCTTTCCACACACGAACTCTGGAGCCGCCTCCCAGGCCAGGCCGGCCGCTAACATCTTTCGCTCGAGGCAGTGGAGGTAAGCTTCTCTGCCTTCTCGGCTTCGGAACTTGAGCCTGATTCGATCAACGGGGTGGGCACGAGGATGGTGTCCAGCATGCGTTGGGTTCCTGATGCTGAATGAACGTACCGCCGGGAGGGAGACTTGGAAAACGCAAACAATCGATTTATCGCGATAACCACGGCATCACGTCTGCCGAGCTCACTTGTAAGTATTGCTCCCGCTGTCCTTTTCGAGGGCACCGTGAATCCCCCGGCCTAACCCCCCCGCACCACCCCCTTCGGGACGCAGCATGCCCAGTGACGCTTGGCGACTCCTGCTCGGCTTGAACGAGTGAAAATTGACAAGGAAAAAGGACAGCGGGAGGCCCAGGGGCTCCCGTGGCTCTCCGGCCCGCCTCCACAGGTTGAAGAGCTCCATCGTCATACGAGCATCAGCCGCAGCGTTGTGAGCCCCCTAGCAAGAATGTGAAGGGGGTCGTACGGCGTGGCATGGCCGTTGATTTGGTCGTGTGGGTCTTTGGAACTAAAACGGTGCATCATATGCCATGCATCGTTTCGCCGTGGGGCTCACCCTAACAACCCTAGCCTTATTAAAGGATTTGGGAAAGTTGGTTTTCACGCTGTTCAATGGGCTCAAACCGGTGAGTCAAACGAATACACACGCAGTGTTTGTCGCCAAATTTTACGCGACTGCAGCCTTGGCCCTGCCCCAACACTTTTGCACACGGCAGGAACGTCAAACGAAGTGTTGTCGTGCCCAAGAAACGTCCGCCCTTGCTCGCACCTCTTCCATCCTATCGAAGCAATGAGCGTACGCCTCCTGGAGCGTGCACTTGAGCCCATTCATCGTCCTGAACAGATCGGTTACCTCCACTACCCGCATCCTTCGCCGTCCTACCCATGGCCATGCTGCTGCATCTGGACTCTCAACAGCGCGAGAGCGGGCGGTGCTGCTGCTGCTGGTGTTGCTGCCGTTTCCAGGAGCAGTCTTGAAAGAAAGACTGCCGCCGTCGATCGGAGCCCTCTCTGTTGGAAGGACCTCTCGCTCGCCGCTTCTTATCTGACTGGCGGCCTGTGGGTGCATACCAGTGTTGTCGATTGTGATTGAGTCTATATCGCCACACCACAGCCCATTGTGATTTGAGTCTATATCGCCACATAACAGCCCATGGGATGGATGCTAGCTAGTGGGGAGTGTTTCGTGGTCGACGGGATGAGCCATATTTCGGCCTTTTACCTTGCCTTACCGATAACTTGCGCGTGAGGCAGCGGAATAAAAGCACTTACCAGAAGATTCTGACATATCCATTGCGCGCATCTTGCTGCATGCTGGGACGAAAGCAATTCTGTGTGGCCACCCGATGTATGTGCGTACCTTCTCGAAGCCCAAGACATTGAGGTCACTGTGAAGCTCCCATCCCACTAAGACGCCACCTTCCTCGACGTGCCGCGTGAGGAAGTCCGAGACGCAAGATGCAGGAATCCCCTCTTCCCATGTAGCCAATAACCCCCTGAAGCGACCAAGCGGTCGTAGTGTGGCGACAAATTGACGGCAGTTGACACGGAAAATAATTGCTAAATGGTAGGTAGGGCGGATGAAGTTGAGGGTATGGGGGGGTCCGGTGAATGGGTGCTCCCGAGAAGATGATGCATGGCAGAGCACTCCCACGAAGAAGTTGATGCGTTATTGACTTTACTGATACTCACCGCCAGACACCAACTCACCCCTGCATTCTGGCAAACACTCCGTCAGTGACCTTGCACCCTCTCGGCACCGCGACCCTCCCGTACAGCAAGGTCTCCAGTCGCTCATCCACGACGCCAACGGAGACCATTGCTCGCCTGGCCGGAAGATCTTCAGGTCCTTCGATCGTGACCATCTCGATATCCACGGCGTAGTAGCGCGCTCCGGCGTCGATGCCTCTGTGGCATGAAAAAGGCTGGGACGGCTTGCGAACGGCGTTTGGCGGTCTCTGTTGAGTCATGATGATGATGGCCGCGGAGCCTGAGAGGCGTTGACGATTTAAAAACAAGAATACGCGGCAAGCCTGATCTCTGCTCGTTTTCTACCGACGAGTGTTGTTGGCTCTCTTGAAGGTATCCAAGTACAGCACCAAGCCGCGGTGCTGAAGTAACGCCTCTCAAAACAGACCACCACGAGCGCTTCGTGCGAAGCAGAAGAGTGATTGCCGATGCACATCCCGAGCACAGATACAGATCTCCGTCATCTCCGATTGAACGGGGGGGGGTGTTCCAATCTGTGGAGACGCCGCGTGGCGTTTTACCCTTTTACCCTGCGTATATTCCAGAGTTTTGATTTTCTGTCTGCTGGCTGGTGGTTGTACTGATCGTGAAGGGGTAGACCGGGGGTGTCATTTGTGTTGCCACGGTCTCCGCTCTTCTTCCCCCCTCCCCCCTTGGCGAGCGAAGGGTACGCAGAATTTATGTAAGCGAATAGCATCTAGAAAACCCCCGTCTTACACATACAATATTTGGCACCAGACCTCGCCCGACCGACCCGCTTTTCACTTTCTTTGTCGTTCACGGTGTTCCCGTTTACAGCATCACACAAACGATTCCGAACACCTGACGACAAAAGTCGACTCAGAGCTCGGTGTGACACTTTTTGGGAGAGTGGGAGACTAAAGTTCGTGCCACTTTTGCATAAATATATATACACACGTGGATTACAGCAGTTTATATTATTTAGATGTGGTGAAAAAAACTCCGAAAAATATCTCTGTTGGCACAGGCAGAGGAGGATAGCAAGAGACACAGAAAGAAAACGGCCTTCCGGTAGTTCAGACGGTACAGTCGTTTGTGTTTGGTTCAATTTGGTGAAGGAAAGGACGCGAATAGGTCAAATCTATCTTCACGCAGCAAGAGGTCGACAGGTTGGGGTATTATATCATCATTCATTCTCGTTCTCCATGCCTCGGAAGGCTGGACTCAAACCATCCATGCACTGCCTTCCCTCAGTTACAACGCGAAGGAATGATGATGATGTGATGATGCTCATACTTTTTGCTTTTCGATTAGATCATCGTGGTGCCCGTCCAGACCGACCAGCCCTGACACAGCGTCAGCTACTACAGTGTGCCACATCGTACTCACTTTCTGTATCTATCTAGAGCACCCACGATTGATTGTTCTCATCGAATAACAGTCAGGCCCGCGGCACGCACACAGCACTTGGGGTGTATTTCTCTCGTCCTGCGACAAACAAACTAGATGAGAAACACGAAGTAATTCGCTCTCACGCTCCCCTAACCCGTTGTATCCGAACAGGATGCTCATGTATGATGGCACAGCAGCAGCGGCACACAGCTCAACTGCGGGGGGGGGACAACCGTCCTTCCGTCACATCGCCCCCCATTATCAAACACAACCATACCCACCGCCGTTCGGTATGCCACCCATCGATTCCTTCTCGTCAATTGGGGCTTCCTCGAGCAAATCATTCAGCACGACTAATATTTATCATGTTGCTGGACGAGCCCCTCCCACACCGACCGGTCAAGTCTGTTTTTCGTCGTCAAGCGAGGACTAGGGAGCCAGTGAAAACGCCGAAATTTGATATCGCTACCCATCCTCAATTGCTACGCGCACATGCCATTCCATCAAAGTGTACTGCCCCTAAGCAACCAATTCCATATACTGCCTTTTGTAAACAACACTCCCTGATGCATAACGGCAACTCCTCATACCCTAGATACAATTTCGGAGTTTTGGAACACCTTTATTTTCGGATTCTCGTGCGAGGCCGGTTGATTCCGATCAGTCGTACGCCACCTGTTGCCCGCTACATTGTAAACTACCAACAAACCCTATCTCGTAGCAGCAGCAGCAGCAGCAGCAGCAGATCGCCTCTGACATGTCCGTCAGTGTGGATCCGTCCATCACACACACACACGAACACAACGCCGACGTAAGGGACTCTTAAGGATACATCCACTCACATCTCGAAAAAGGCACATACCCTAGAAATGCTGCCTGATTCGCTCTTGCTCGGGTTGATTCCCTACAAAAAAAACACACACACATTTAAGGAGGATCAATAGCTGCTGCCAACACGTGGTCGTACGCATAACGTGCCGTCCACGCCCGCCTCAACCCATCAGCCGCCGTCTCCTGTCTTCCAAGTTTTTATGCAACAGTACCGCAGGAACAAAAAAGAAAAACTAAACGAACGGACTGCTATTGGCTCTTCCGGAATACACGCGTCAACCCGCCCTGCTTTACTGAAGCTGTGCTCGAGAGACATTCCTTACACCCACCCAAAGTTGGATGTGGTGTCGGGTACCGGACACCTGCGGAACTTGCGTAAAACGAATACCGACGGCTAGAGTTTGCGGGCTAAATAACAATCCAAACAGGGTAGGTAAGCACGGCCATTCTCTGCAATATTTCTTTCTACCTGCCTCTCTGTGCAACCTATTCCCTCAGTAGTTGCGGCATATCTCAAGCTACTTGAAACCAGAACGAAAGGAACAGAAGTCGCCCGAGGCACGCTCCTGCCCCTCCACCCAATCTGTGCGCCACTCCATCGCCCGTGTTCAAGAAGACTCGTGGTACGACTACGCCAAATCGAAAGGCCACTACCCCCGCATCCTCCCGTGAAAAACGCACACCCACAGACTAAATATTGTTTTCCGTATGTAAGGAAGAATACATTGCCAGGCTCGAATGGTAGCCCCCCCCGTCCGAACAAGAGAGCAACCCTTTGAAACCCACAAAATGTGGTCAAGCGCGAGTTGCCAAACACCTGATTGTCCATTAACTTTTTACTGCTGAATCCGTGTGTGGTGCCCAACGACAGCCGGGAAATATACCCTCCGTGGTGATGCTATCTACTAAGACCCAGCCAAAAATTGTATATCAAGCAAAATGAGGCACCCAAACCACAAAGCAAAAGAAAGAAAAGCACGCGCAAAAACAAAACAAGACCACGAGGGAGCAACTAAGCGTGAAGCGCTCCTCTCGACACGAACGAACTACACACACACACAGCAGCCCCAGGCAAACGGCCGGCCGCACAACACACGCAACTGCATGGGCGAGTGCCGGCGGAGCTCAAGCGTCAAAGCCGCAAGACATGATACCCATGCACTACTAATACGCTTCAGGCCCACACGAACGGACCGAAGATAAACAAACAACTCCCAAGAGCACCCGCAGCGAGGGCGGGCGGGCGGGCCGGCGGGGAGGGGGGGGGGGGGGGGGTAGGGGGGGGGCAAAAATGCCAAAAACCCCGGGGAGGAAAACCCGGGCCCGGGGGGACCCCACTGGTGTCCCCCCCAAGCGCCAGGGGTGGAATCCAAAAACAGGGAAACGGGGTTAATGGGGGAAGGGGGGTCAAACTTTTAAAAGCCCTTTCCCTTTTTTGGGGAAACCCCAAAACGAAACCCAAAGGGAATAAAAAAAAAACCAACA